AATATTTCGGTATTTAAATTTCTAGATAACAAAGGAGTTTATCACTTTACAATAACAATAAATTATGGTTTGATTAGGTCTTATGAATATCGGAAATCTTACAACGATTTTGTTTTTATTTTTAAAGGCGGTATTTGCTTTGACATAACGGTTGTATTAATAGTATCATACCGGATGTTTAGAAAGGAAGTCATTCGTCTTTCTCTGTATTTCGGTGTTCCGGAGCTACAATACAATAATTGTCGTAGTGCTCGCCTTTAATGATTGTATTTTGTGAACGAAAAAATAAATTCAAAAAAAATAATCGTCTCCTTCAAAGTATGACTTAAATATTTTTATGTGAAAAATTTTTGAAAAATTAATATATGTGTATTGTCGGGGAACAAATATTGTATTGTAATTATATATTTATAATGTATCACATGTATATTGTACATTGTATTTAATATTATTTTCAAGAAAAGTAAAATTGACTTTTAATAATATGTTTAGAGTTCAGCGCTCCTATAAAGTCCTATAATCGACAAAACCTATAAAGTTGCATCATTTTTTTTATCAAAGTTCTAGCCAAGAAGAAAATAATTAAATAACCAAGTTAACACAGATTTATTTAATGTCTTTTATAAACGTATTTATTTTTCTTGTACGGTTCTTTTTTTATTTTTTTCCTGTCACGTCTATCTTTCCACAGTTGTCAGCTTTCTTTCGATATCAACCACAATACGACAGTTTTGTCATCTTCAGAATAATTTATTTTGTTTTACTTAAAATTCTATACATAAAGTGTCTTATCTTTTATATAGATCTTGTTATATATTTTTAAATTTCTAAGAGAAGCGAGAAATGTATTGGTTTAACAATGATGTATTTTTTATTATTTGGTATATTTGATCATGTTTTTTGGTAGAAAAGCTGCTTCATAAGTTTTATATGACCACATAACAATCGACACAATATCTTACAAAAATGGTTGGTTCTCTATGTATTGATGTCATTTTTAGAATTTTCCATAAAAATTGCAACAAATGCCATAAAAACTGTAAAATTTATATCACATGAACTTTAATAGACCATTACTAATTTGTTCTAATTTGAAAAAATTAAAACCTAGAGAATATTGACATTTTCATCGGTTATTTTATAATACTGACATCGTAAAAATGTTCAACGAATTTCGGACATTTTTGTACTCTACGTAGAATTTTTATAAGTTTTTTATGTTAACGAATTTTTAATTTAATTAAAAATGTAATACAATCTCATTTACACAACGGGTGTCCAACACTATAAGTCTGTTAGAAATGAAAATAGTCCTGGTTTGTCTCTAATATCCACTCTATAACATATTAATTTTTTAATATGATTAAAATGAGCACCCACCTAAAAAAATGTATACTCATTTTTGAGTGCTCGTTAAATATTTAATATTTCTATTTGAACGAACTTTTTCGTTGAGATTATATTAAAAATATATTTCATATGTGTACCTACAGTTTTCACTTTTTTTAATTTTAAATTTGTTCGCAACCTGCAGCGTCACATGCTCGTATAAAATTAAAAGGGCAAATGTGGTGACATAAATTACTTGACTTATATAGAATAGTATGTGAAAAGGAGGGGTCAGAGACACCTCTCAACAATAACGATGAAGCTGGAAATGTTAACTTTGATATTGATGTGAGAAGTGCTAACGGAGTGTAATTTAGTGCATAGGTATGTGATTCACTTAAAGGTGACCTTATTATACCTTATAAAATTATAACATTTAAAAAAGTTTCTTTGTGTTCGTAAAATAATTTGATTTAAGATAGGTTCTATTAAAATTAGTTCTACGTATAATAAATAATAATTATACGTAGTTGGCGCCTATAATATGTGAAACAAAAACTCGACGAAACTATTATTTTCCGTATCTATGTTTTTCTGTTACTAAATTTTTTTCCACTTGAGTTAATAATAAAAAGGAATGTCAGGCAATACAATTGTCGAGTTTCGGGACAGAAAGTTCATTTATTAGTCTCACGCAGTCCGCATAAAATGTGTGCTAACAATATTGTCGTGTAGTTTATGCAATTTGGTTTTGATTTATCAGATATGAAATTGGAATGACAACGTATAATTATCATAGGGACATATTTTAATAATATATGTTCAATATTTTTTTAGGGGTGGGTTGGTCATCATAACAAAAATTACGAAAAACCACGTTATTGATTACGAAAGAAAACAAAATCAAAAGTCAATCGACCTTGCATAGAGTTGTTTAGGACTTAATTGTATATTAATTGTGTCATTATTATTTAATAAATATTTTAATTGGTAGTAAAAATTGTGGACATTAAGTTATAATGGTTCATTATATTTAGAAAGAGTTTAAAGACCTATAGTATTTATTACATATTTATTGTATTAATGTTTATTATGATCTTATAAAAACAGAGCCCCACGGAAAAAACGTAATAACGTTGATGCAATAAATGAATTACCCTGTCTTACCCCGCATCATAAATAATATAACTCAAATTTTTATTTGTTTTACTTTTACGATATTATTATTGATAGTATATTATACGATTGAAACACGAGGAGCATGCCTAACACAGTAACACAGGTTTATAGAACAAGTAAATATATTGTGATAATCACGCACGATTGCACTTTGAAAAATATATATTTTTTGCTAGTCAAAAATTATGATCACAACAGAGATGTTTTTTATGTCGGATGTCGAAACGCCAATATGTATTATATTTTATATGTAAACTATTTGAATAATAAAATATGTAAAATAATTGTATATAAACCTATAATTTTTATATGATGAACAAAGGTTCACTACTGGATCTATGAGTGACCCACCCCGATGCCGAAAATATTGTCGTACAATATTTACTACCTGAGAAATTTTTATAATCAATTTTAATGAAATATTTTTGATAGTGCACCCGCGCACTAAAATCATATTTTATGAAAATGTCGATAATAATAGTGTTATTATTATTTATAATAATACTGTATTACCTATAAACGGATAGTCGAAAGACGTCCAACGTCTGACGTAAGAATTTCACCTCAAACTCGATCATTTTCATTTTTTGTTCACTATATTACAGTCCAAGTCATTACTCGAATGACGATATAGTTATTGCCCTATTTTTTTCGTTATTCTTATCAGTTATTTAAATGACACTTTGTCGGACGTGTGTAGGACATTGGACAGTTTTGTGACTTGTAGTGTTGTGCAATTGATTCACAATCAAAATACTTCACCAGGGCACTGGAAACAAAGTTTAAAAAAAAAAAAAAAACAATTTTCCATCAATAATGTTCGCACTTTTTCGTTTATGCTTCACATAATAATATTGCGCAATGTGATGGAAATATAATCAATGATATCAATTATTATGAATAAATATTCTTTTGTATGACGTCTATTTCAAGTTCTTGTGAATGAGAGGTCGAGTATGGGATATAATTAATAAAAAGCACTACCTACGTAGAATACCATAATGACATTACTGCCTACAGGAGGTCACCTAAATTGCCTATTCAACACGCCGTGTTACACAAATCATAATGTGTTTCGGTACCAAAAATGTAGTTACTAATTATAACATTATAATTATTTCTATACCTGCTTAATACTAATTAGTAATTATTCAACCTTTGAAATTTATATCCTCCACGGTTTTAAAATACTCAAGCATAAGGCTATTAATATGATAACTAGGTATAACATTAACTGTTACGGTTATATTAAATTATTTTATTATGCGTCTGTAAATTTGAAGGAAAAAAATAATTTATTCAATTATTTTAGTTGTTTATTTAGGTATGAATATTAGAATTTATAAAATTATCAATTAAAACAAATACTGTGCCTGTATTCATTTTATATTGTAATTGAATAAACAATTAATTAATCATTTTAAAAGGTAATATTATAGGTAAAGTTATTGACAAGTTGTTTTTGTTTTAAAATGTTTTCTTTCCTTATTCTATGCAAACTTTATACAACACTAATGACTTTATTTTTAACTATAAAAGATGGTATTCTTTAACATTTTTTGGTTTTTGTATTTTCTGTGTTTTGAATAAAATGAACCACAAAAGGTTAAAAATAAATTACTGAAAACACGTCCATTCACGACAAGTAATAGTTACACGACAACCCCTTATAAGATATTCATTGGATTTATGATATTGCAATTTTCGACAGATATAAACTATACAATGTTTTTTAGAAACCACCCCTTTCAAAAAGGCGACACATAAATTTCTAAGTCCGGTGACGATAAAAATCTTCATGTGTATCATATTTCTGCGAAAAAAAAATAATGGAGAAATTTGTTTAATGCTTCAACCTTTTATTCGTGCTATTGCTATAGAATATATTGTATTCGGTTAAATTATAGATAATAAATTTGATTTATTTTAATTCTGTAACCCTATACAGGTAGAACCGAATACCTATAGTAATAGAACACCACTTCAGGCAATTAATAATAGTCGGAAATATATATGTATATATTTAATCAGTTTATTATGTTTCAAAAGTGAGATAGAAAAGAGAGGAAGGTATACCGGTAAGAGTAAACAGAAACGCTTATTTGGTTATTTTTTATTCGATTTAGTCCACACAATTTCCGATTATCGTACTCGTCATCCAATACGAGACATATTTATACCTCGTTTATTCTCGTACAAACGTTCCAATAGAACGCATATTACTACAATACTCTATCCATCGATACGTTGAAGTGTATAAATCTCATTTTATAGTACAACACATCTTGACGAGCAATAACGACATTTAAAATATGATAAACAACATTATTTATTATCGTACGTTTCGCGATAGAAATCCTTTTTAACCGATTCCGACTGTTGTTTGTCACCCGGAATAGTGGTTAAACGCTTATGTCGTACGTAAAACTATAACAAATGTATTATGTGCACGCATTTGAATGTATATATATATAGTATTATTATGATTGCAGGCGGTCCGGATGAACCATAAGAAAGAACAAGTGATCATACTCGACGAAGACAACATGTTATTAGACGATAAAATGATCTATACGTCTCAACCGAAGATTTACCCGTTCGCCGTAGTCCTCCGACTTCGTGTACTTCAGGTATCTATTGTGGATATCGATAATATTGAAAAATCGATACACTCAAATCCCGATGTAATTATCTTGACCGAAAGGCTAAAGGAATTATGTTTCGTGTACGTCAAACGCGAAAAAAGTAATTTAAACGAACCCATACATAAAGCGTTACGCAAATATTCGTATTATAAATAAACACCCCTTTGTAATTTATTAAGAAATTGAAAAAATTGACGGCATTCGATGACGGGTAAAATTTAATTTGTCTAATGTGATTTATTGTTAAGCCGAAGCATCTAGAAAATAACAATTTGAGTAAAACGTTTGAGCACTGTATGACGTATTTGACGATTCATACTTTTGAAAAACATTGCGTGACGTGATAGTTTATGCACTTCTTCACTACAAATAATATATTGTCAAACTTTAGAAATCGTATAATAACACTCAGTTTAACACAAGTCCGTTGTATAACACAATATAATAATTATATACCAATATATGTGTACGCATTTCAATATAGATCAATTCGAATTTTAGAAATTCAAATGCCAAACAAATATGTACGAATATCGGTGTGAAAATTAAATTAAAATCGTGAAAATATTTTCACCTGGTGAACGTCAAAGATTATCTAAGGTGTCAAATAAAAGATGACAAATGACGGGATCGTCCCGTTGAAGATATATGAGTTAAAGCCGCGGACAATCCTCTGGCGTGGCTCGGTATTTATCTCGCTCGTTATCGGAGCCATTCAAAACCGAACTTTTACTTTACAATTTGCTTAAAGCGGCGTAAAATGCTTCCACCATTGTGGCAGTTTATTTATTGTTTTAGTGCAATGGAACGTTGTTTAAAATTTAATTTTGACTAGGACGAGACATTCAAAAAAATAAACCGTTTATCTTCATAACGAAACTGTAGACACGTTTTGTGCTTAAAAATGCTGTTACGTTTAACACCTACCTCGAATTTTATTATATTTTTTCTAGATTTTATGATACATTATTCGGCTTCGGAAAATCATTGATTAATGTACCATAAATAATGTTACTGTATAAAAAGAAAAATACATTATGTACCATTGCATAATAGAATTTTATCACAGTTCCTTTAACACGTGTACTTTTAATATTAATTCTAAAAGTTCTTAGAAACTCGTCTTTGTTTTATGTTTGCTATTTTTACGTTTGATTAATACACTGGAGTTTACCAGGTACGTATTATTAGTAGAAGCACTTAGTATTTTGTATAGGGTTTCAAATGAGAGATGCGATTATACGCTTGCTGAAACACGGAAATAATTAATGTGCAATGTGCATATAGGTACGCACGCGGCAGGTATTCGGCCACGTGAAAAGCTTTCACATATTATAATATAAAATAATATAATCTCGGGGGTCATTTTGAGTCGCAACGCTCTGTACGACGTCCGTTTAGTTTTGTCCGTTTTAAAATAATAACGTACACCTCGCGTTTGTTTCGACGAACAATAAAATATATTATATTATTTATATTCCGATAAGAAAAAAAAAACAACAGCAATAATAATTACGGTGAAAACATGCCTTGCGCTCGCTTGTGCAATAAAGACCACGATTTTCGTGCCTAATACATTATAATATTTTTCGTATATTATGCTATTCACGACTAGCCAACAAACATTATGTTCGAAATATTGTTTTTCAATCAGTCTCATTCACACGGATGAAATAAATAGAATGTCGGGAACACGGTGGGTATTATGTGTGACTGAAATTCGTCATTAAATCGATATAAAATATGGAACCACACGAGACAAAGCCCGAGACAATACCACTGAACTTTGTGCTCGGTATCATTTTTTCTGTGAAGAATTTATGAGATATTAACTTATTTTCATAAAGTCAGCGATGTCGTTGATACATCAACGGTGATCTCGTAAAAAGATTTATCCCTCATAACACCACATACCTTTAAAAAATATACATTCTTAAATTGACATCAAAATATAACAGTGTCAAATTTGACCCCTTTTTCTCAGAAAATACCTTTTTAGTTGCATCTATTTTTTTTTTCGTTTTTTATGAAATTCATTGCACGTCATTTATAAATAGTTCAAATACCTCTTGAACAATATAGGTACATAATATATGGTCTTAGATAAGAAAAAATTACATCTATACTCTATAGACGTCTACTACGTAAAAAACTAAATTAAAAAGTAAAAACCATCCGTTGGAATTTAGTTTAAGAGTATTAAAACAAATTCCGTGGGTGAAAGATCTTTTCTTCATTCGTTTAAATTAAACGTTTATAAATATAAAATAACAATTTTTATTGGTTGTATATCATACTTATATATATATATTATACTTTCAAGTATGAAGCCTTAAAAAACAACGAATTGGCATACCATTAAGATTTTCAACAGGATGTAATGTTTTTTTCTACTTATTATACGACAGACTGATTAAAGCTATGATGGACTTAGCAAAACAATGTCATACATAGTTTTTAGATATATTATACTGCAGTATAAAAAATGTAATAGTATTATATATTTATATTTTAATTGAATTCAGTTTGTTATTAGTTGTAATTAAAATTCTTTTTTGTGTTACATTCCAATCTTAGTACAATAGTTTTTAATTGGTTTGTAAAAAAATTCATGATTCTAATAATAAAAAAAAAATTAAAAAAAATTCCGTATAAAAAATATTTTTTCTTTCAATTTAAATTAAAAAACTCCCGAGGGTCTTACTCCGTGGATTACTCCGTATAAATACATATACATATATTTAACCTAAATACATATAAATCTTTTTCAGTTCAGTATTTCTATTAGTATAAATTATACATTTAATAATAATGTGTATTCGACTTCACCTACAGCATAAATGCCTAATTCCATAATACCTACCAATACTAGATAATATAATTCTCCCTGATCATAAAATACACAGAATTAAAATAGAAATCAACTTGATGTTATGAAATATATATAGGTACAAAATTAGCGAAAAAAAATATGTACCTAAAAAAATCCACGGGAGTTTAAATATAATTTACCCTCACGAATCACGACGTTAGTGGTGAATAAATTGCTTAGGAGTATTTCATGTCCTCTCACTAACTCACTCTCTTTCTACATACATATATTTCCTTTGATTTATTTACGGTACCTAGTAATACATAATATACTACTTGAACCCTTCACAAATATATTATTAAAAACGCAATACGTGCTCTCCCTATATAATTTTAGTTTTTTTGTAATCATTGTATAGTTATAATTATATTTTTTTTTCAGATAGTTTGCGGTATTACCGGGTTAGTTATGGGTATGGTCGCCACTATAGAAGAAAAGGGGAAAATGAACTTGGGCTTAGCAATACCGGCTGGAATTCTGACAGTTATTGCTGCAGGTGTGTTTAATACTATAATATATTATATTATATTACATACATTAACATAGTTATTAATGAATAAGTGGTATGTTTATGGTCTGAAACTCTAAAAAATGTATGCAAATACGCCCAAAAAATATCAAAGTTGACTTAAAACAATCAAATATCGTATCAAAAAAGTGCAGTGTAACTCATAATTCATTCAAAATATACTGTACATTTTGAATAAATTAATAATAGAACACGTATATTACATTATTACAATAACACGCCATATTCACACCTTCTAGTTCTAGTGAATTGTGATACTAACATTAATATTATATAACTTTGAGTGTTTTGCCTACGGGCAACGAGCATGTATTTCCTACGGTATAGGTATGTCTGTAAAAGCATGTGTGACATGTTTACATGCTTGTGTAGACTGAACGAGCTGATCTGTACAAGGTTAATCTAATATAACAAAAATATATATAATTTTAAAATCTCAAATTTAAGAAAAATTAAGTACAATTTACAAAAAAATGTCCTTAAAAATAAAAATAAATACATTCATGGCTAATGTTCACTAAAACGTGTTTGAAAAATATCTATCCACAAAATTTTATTAAATTCGTATAATATGTACAGGTGTTCAGTGACAATAATAAATATGATCGTATTACAATATTGAAAATAGTCTGTATAGGTTATGATATGCCCATTTAGTTATAAAATTTAGTTATTAAATTATACTATATAATTAGGACAAAACATGCTATAAGTCTATATGTCTTTCATCAATATGCTATGATTCAATTGTATCTAAATAGCCATTGAAATAATGGAATCTTCAATATTAAACATTTATAGTATATCAATAAGTGTAAATGTAAAACAACACCTAAGTACCATATAAAATTAGAACAAATTCTAATGAAATAACAACATTTTTCTATAAGACCATAATAATTAACAAAACCATAAATTATATTAAATATTTAAATGTATTAATCGATAACATATTTTATGGAATGCAATTATTAATTTTAACAGTAAACATACCACTTTAAGTATGCCATGTGTTTTTAATTAAAATCGTTCTGCGATGGTTTGACACAATAAAAAAACAACTTATACAAAAACATATGGTTACCTATGGAAAATGAAAATATTTGAGTATAAAATGTATTTTCTAAATTACCAGGTAATTCGTCCTACTACATTACGTATAACTACCTAATTAGGTTATTTAAAGAAATATACATAACCTCAAATATTAAAAACAGACTGATTAAGGAACATGTTGTAAATAAATAATATTGTGTTAATGCTTTTGATGATCATTACATTTCAGGTCAACTAAAAAAAATATTTTTTCTATTTATTACTGTGTTCACTATGTATGCATATAATTTAAAAAGTTATTGTTAACATTATATAGATTGTAAGACTACAACTTAAATGATCGTCGTTAAAATACATTTAGACCATTACATGCACAGTATATCATTTTTATATGTAAAATTATAGCAAGCAATTTCAAATAATTTACAAACAAAATTGCAACTCACAAAACCATTTTCTCCTTGTGTTTATTACTAACATTGATACACTATTCACAAATCATTTAAATGACTGTACAATTATTATTAACATCTATGTTAATGGAACGATAAATACATTTTTTATAAGTAAATATTTTTGATCACATTCTACTTGAATACGCAATATACGGAATTCAGATAAATACTGCCTTTTTATGTCATCACTCATCACCTACTAGGTCATGTTAATAACTCTCTAAAATGTTGTTCTAAATCCGTTTTGATTTCTTCTTGGCAAATATACCTAACCAGTGCAACAGCTTTACAACAATTTCGATAAGAATGTTTTTTAATTAAAAAATATGTGCAGTTCATTATGTATTAAAAAAACAAATGTAAATTATAAATATTGAAACATAATAGTCATTGCGGATATTATACTGTATGAGTGAATTATTTGATTAATATGTCTACTCATTGGGACACAATATTCTCATTTAATTAACTAATATTTTAATGTAGTCAATTAGCAATGAATGGCTTCCACCTGTCTGACAAAAGCAAGCAATCAATCTAAATTGCCGACAGTAACGCCTAAAGAACCATGGTCTTCAACCCGATAACTTTCTAACATAAACGAAATTCTACCTTATATTTACTTACTAAATAATTTGCACGTTCAATTAATAAACATGAATATTCAATGCCTACGAATAAAATATAATCTAACAAGAATCCACAGAAGTAAATAAGATAAAAACTAAAATAACTTAAGATTACAAATTATTTGTTCACAGCGTAAGCCAAACATAATTTCTAATGTATACAAGAACATTTTCTAATAAATATCATACCATTAAGTTTTTATTTATAAGCTTTTTAAGTTAAATTCATATGTATGAAGTATAGCAAGGGGTATCCTGTGAAATTTATAATGCTCTGTAAAACTTGTCCAACTTAACTTTAAATACTTATTATTAAAAAATACATTGAATGTTTATTATTAAAAAAGTCACTTTATATATAAAAAAATGTTTACAAGAGTATTATATAGAAGATACATCTAATCACATTCTACTTAAAAAGTTATAAAATATTTTAATAATAAAGTTAAATCTCATGTATAGGTAACTTTATACATATATTTCAATATTTGTTTTAGAAAAAAAATAATAGTTATACAAATGATTTATTGTAAACACAGAAATAACACTCCAATAATATAATAATAATAATTATAATAAATAAGCACTCTTCAATTATATTGATTCGATTTTTTTATTCCTAAATTTTACTCATACATTTTTATTTTTATTCATAGACTACTTTGAAGAAATTGAGCTGTATACTTTTTTAATATCGCTAATATAATTTTACGGTTACAAATAAATGGATAAATAATAATAAAACGATATTACGAATTATAAAAATCTATACCTATCATCGTAATTTTATAACACAATAGACAATAAATCATTTAATAAATCAAATAACAGCAGAATCGAATGTATAATATTAAATCATAACATGATCACACGGCATAGATCTTAAGTAAATATAAACTAAAATAACTTTAATATAATTAAATACTTATAAGTTTATAACTTATTAATCGGTTAGTAAGTTGCAGTAATCTTATTTCAGTGATACATATCCAATTGGCAAAATCAAACTGAAAAATAATATAATAACTAGCTGTAGTATTTTTTTTTATTTATAAACTTATAATTATATACGTGAATGTCTTTTTTATAGGAATTCATAAAATGTTTAGATTAGGCACGAGAATGAAGTTAAAGTCGTAAATAAAGTTATTCATCAGTATACCACCAATATAAATTAAAAATAAACAACGAAATAGTTGATCATTTTAAAAGTTTTATATTAGATTTAATATTGCCTTTTAAAATTTAAATATTGAAATATGTAATTATAACATTTTCAATCGATGAATGAATGATTGTATATTTGGAAAAAACGTCCAACATAACTTTTGCATTGAATTGCACCAAACGTCTTTCTACAATATGATTCCATTAATTTTTTGCAATGCATTTTTCGAAAGATAATAAATAATAATATATTGTAAACATTTTTTCAATACATTTATTGAACAATTGTCTGAAGTTAATAAAAATGCATCTCTAAAAAAACATTTATTATACGTAAGTATGGTAATATTCGATTTGTGCTCCACATATACAATTTTACACTTGTACAAAAATTCCTTACAAAATATATAAATCACGGTGGTTAAATATTTTAATATTATTTTTTAAATAATCTAAAGCGAAGCAAAATAATAAAAAAAAATCATTTTAAATATAACACTTATTTAATTTAGTGAGTATAAACTTTTAGTTCTAAAAATGTTCAGGTAGGTAGCGTTGGGGTGTTCTCAAAGTATCATACAACTATTCTCTATCGATTGGAATGTGATTAGCTATATGCGAACATAGATGGTATTTTATAAGCAGACGATTTTCACAAATTCTCATTAATTATTGAGAAATAATAGGTATATAATATATTTAATAGTATAAGACGCTGTAAAGTTCTTAAGTATTAAATTTAATAATGCACACCATTTCATACCATTCGAAATGCTTAATTTCCCTAATACATGTATACTGTACATTGTACCTATATGAAAGTTAACAATTTTTTTTTAAATCGCTTGTTGAGTTATTTTATAAGAATATAAGTTAACTTGAAAATTTTAAGTTACATTATTTTAATGTTTAATGAAATAAATAGAAGTTAAATAGTTGGGGAACTCAACTCAATTTAAAATAAATTTCCTACATACATTTCTTAGCTTAATATTTATATTTTATGCCAAATTACGATACTCAAATTTGATAAAAGTAATCATACACAAAAACTGAAATAATGCATTATTTTTGACAGAATAAATGATTGAAAGAGAGGACTCCTCAATGATAGAATCATATTAATTAGTTGAAGTTTAAGGATAATTTAAAAAAAAAATTCCTTCAAACATAGATGATAAAGTTTATAATCAATCAAAAAACAAGATTCCTCATAAGTTTTACTTGCAAACATAGATACCTATACCAATTTAAGAATATTAAAAATTCATTGTCAAGATTTCTTTTTATATAGATCACGTCATCAACGTTGCTTTAAATGTTGAACTAGGTTATCTGGTAGTGTTATTATTGTGAGATTTCAAATTAATATGTTTTGAATGAGACAGTAATTTTCTATGGATATTTATATACTTTATTTTAATCCCTAATGAAATCCAGGAACAGTGCATTAAACACTTCGACAGACCACGATTTAGTATTTACTATACATATAACCTGTATAGTATAATACGGGAGTTTCTAATATTTTTATTTCTATAAAAAACAATAATTTGTACTAAGCAAAACTTACTTTTAATCGACGGGGTTTAAACTAGGAAAAAAATTAACCTCATATGACTATACAATTAATTACCAAAATTATAAGTAACTACATATCATGGAAAAAATTTGAATTTCAAATTAAAAGTAACTCGTTGTATAAGTAAGTTAAAAGTAAATTAGGTTTTTAACTCATTAATGATAAGCCTTGAATATATATATATATATTACCTAAGTATGTTTAATTCTTTAGAATGTAATTTGAATTTTACTTGACAATAGTTTAAAATGTGAAAATAAAGTTGTATTTTTATTTTTTTATAATCATCAAAAATTAACAATATAGAAACAACAATTGCAAATGTATGATTATCAATTCCATTTAAGCTGAGCTGTGTTAGAGATTGGTAGTATACATTTAAATTATTTTAACTTACATTAAAAAATATAAATAAGCAAACAAATCGATGATAAAATAAAAACAAAACAAAACAAGTTATCGTCTAAACATTATAATATAAAAAATAACTAACATAAATAAAAAAAGAAGTAATATTAACAATTAAAATTTAGGTAAACATTAAAATATTTTCATAGAATAATAGATTTTCAGACAAATATAATTTATAAATTAATTGTATTAATCAATAAATTTAAATGATGTGGTATATATATATTTAAATGTAAACAATCCTGCGTAGTTAAGCATTAATAAATTAAAACCCAAATGTATTCAATTTAAATTTTGAAAGATAAACGAATACACTGTAATAGCAGTAAATGAACCAATAATTCATTTACAATATAACACTGTTGTTGTATTTATATTTATTTATGAATATTATGTAAATAATGAATGTGATTACATATAGTTCTTTAAATAATTGTTATTTAGAATTTACCCAATCAACTTAAAATACAAATATTTCCTCATAGAATATAGGTATTAAATGAAAATATGTCATTAAATTTAAACTAATTAGTGAAGTACGTTTATTATATATTTTCTAATAACAGTTAACTAGTATTTAAATTTTTTAAGGTTATATTTTTAATTAACTAAAGCCAAAACCAACTCAATAGTTATCATTATGATAATTAATATTATTTTTGCTTTAAAATAATTACAATATTTAAATATTTCAAAATGTAACGACTACGTTTTACTTTTTCGATTTTTTTTAATTATATATTTTTTTTAATTTAATTAAATTAGGTGTATAATCATATTTTGTACGCCTTTTATTAAAACAATTATAATTTGTGGAGACAATAAAGAAGTAATAGTAACTTCCTCTAAATCTGTTATATAAAAAATATTCTATATCTTTTACTTTAAAAAATCATTCTAAATTCGATCCGTTAATAAATAAACGTGAAACTTTAAAATACAATCTAAATGTCAGTTATTCAAATAAATGTATTGGTCAGAATTTTGTAGACTATTTAGGGCCAACTTATTTCAATTACCTAGAAATTAATGTCAAAAGGTATCTTAGATTAAGTAATAATATTAATATAAATAAATATTTAACTAATGTTTTTATAAATAATTTGTAAATTCAAGTATCTGGTTTATAACTTCTTCTTTATTGTTTTTTTATTGTTTATTTTTGTCATATTTTTAAATACTAAATTGTATATGCTATATTTTAATCTCTAAGGAAATTACTTTGTAATAACTCGCTACCTTCAACTCAAGCTACGCTTAAAGAAGGTAGCTAAACCAAAATGTTTTTTTTTTTTTTTTTAAAAATGATTATTTAGTATACTAATTGTACTAGTATTTCTATTATATTTAATAAATGGTTTTACTTAAAAAAAATAAAAAAAAAATAAAAAAATAAAAAAAACTATTTATTAACACAACCAGCTGTGCCTAATTAGTAATTATTCTTGTTATTTTACCCACATTTTAAAACCGGGGCTTAGATTATTAAAATTTATAATTAAATATAATATCCATACAAAATAATTATAGACCTTTTATAAATGATAAAATCAGTTTAAAGAACTAGAATCTAATAAATATGGCGATAATTTCGTCTTTTTTATATTGTTTATTATTTTTATTTTTTGTAAGTAAATGTTAATTATAAATTTGTGTTTTTTTGTTCATGTTACCGGAAATATATGAATACATCTGATATTATTCATAATGTCTAGACATTGTAAAAAATTACAAAAAAAATACCAGGTATAATATGTATAATGGTCCAGTAATTGTCATTTAGTAGGAACTATAAATTATAACAGTTAATACCAAATAAAAATCAGGCTATATGAAACAAAAATAATATGATAAATGTTTTATCAGTAGATATAGATTTGTCAAACGACACTAATATGACTTGTTCAGGCTATTTTATTATTCATTACTGAAATACATCAAACACTGTAGAGGGTCGTTCATAATTTAACCGTCAAAAATTATTTATATACAAAAAAAATCATTTTCTCCCATATTAGAGTAAATGATGAAATCTTTAATTCAGGAATAATTAATTTAAACATCAAACGACATAATATACGAACATGAGCGATGGAACTATGGACGGATATGATATTATACTCAGTAAATCGTTTGAATTGTATAAATATTTTTTTTGTTTAATGTAATATTTACAATCTATACAACAAGTAGTACAATAAGTAAATTTGATAAATTATTGAAATGTAAAGTGCAAATTTAAATAAACAATTGTTATAATATGACGTGTGCAACATAAATATTATTTTCTGTTTTTTTTTCCGTGATATATCGGATGCTATTCTAACTTAATTATATTGGATAACGTTAACGATAATAATAATCACTAAACCTCTCCCGGTTCAGTGTGTTACATAAAATATATAATATTTATTATTTTTTTATACGGTTAAGGTAGTATGAGATATTATTATTATTATTAAACGTTCGCTATCGATCACGGGAGCAGACATATGAGCATAAAGCCACCATTTTATCTCGTGTGAAGTGTTAAATAGACAAGAGTATTATTATATAAGTAGGAAAACCTTTTATTAATAACAACGATTATCTCATATTCTCATTTAACATGTCTTGGAAATTTGAAGAGCGTAAAATATTCACATGATTGGATAAATCATTGCAAAGTTAAAAAACTGTATTTGTTTAGCATAATACAATTTTTTTTGTGTTTGAATTGTTTAATTTAACATTTTTATAGTTTCTAATTATTTTTATTTAGTATTATTTATTTAGATTTCTCATTTTCTTAAATTAGAGTTGATTATTTTTAATATCTATTTAATATTTTAAATCATACAAACTACATAATAATATGAAATACCTACTCACATGTTTGGTAACTTGACTTTTTCTTAAAGAAAGATAGTATTTTTACAGCAATCATATACGATATTAACATAATTACAATAGCTATAATGACTGATAAATAATCTGGAAAAACAAAATAATACAATTTTAAAATAATTGGGTGTCTATAATATTTATAAGTTATTGCGGTGTACCGTATATAGAACTCATGGAAAAAAACACATGAATGATAAATTATAAATATAATTATAAAATATTTGTTGAAACTAATTGAAACACACAGTTTAAATGAAAAAAAAATTATAAAATATAAATATAAAATATATAGTCCTGATTTTTAATAATTTTGTTCGAGCCTTCAGCATAATATTTAAATTTATCTCCTTTTTTTTGATAAATTAGAGTTCAACATTAAATTAATTATAGATATAATCATTAAAACCATTTTAATAAATTACATTTAAAACATGGAAAAAACACATGAATGATAAATTATAAATATAATTATAAAATATTTGTTGAAACTTATTGAAACAAACAGTTTAAATGAAAAAAAAAATTATAAAATATATAGTCCTGATTTTTAATAATTTTGTTCGAGCCTTCAGCATAATATTTAAATTTATCTCCTTTTTTTTTGATAAATTAGAGTTCAACATTAAATTAATTATAGATATAATCATTAAAACCATTTTAATAAATTACATTTAAAACATAAGCCATTATATTTTTAACAGCTTCAGTTTGAAATACAAATTAAAAAATACGTGTTTGACTCACTGAAAAATGTTGGAATATTATTTTCTACAGCAGATTTGCACTCAACATCCCAGTCAACTGATATTAATGGTCTTAAAACATCAATAAATATATCTAGTTCACAAGCGATTGAATCACAACCAGGTACATGCAGTAAATATGGTTCGTGGTCACTTGTGTTTCGATACGATATCTAAAATATAAAATAATTCACCAAAAAATAATAGGAAAACAAAACCGTATAAAGATTGATACAGTTTTGGTTTAGTTAATCGATGAAAAAAAAGTAGTTCATACTGATTTATATATAGGTACTGAATTTATAAATGTATTTATATATATTATACATTATAGCACCTACATACTTAATATTTATGTGTGCAAAACTCACCGTGACAACATAATTTCCTGTAGTGTTTAACCGAAGTTCAATCATCAAGACAGCTGCATAGGGCACCAGTAAATGTTCGTATAGTTCAAACGCGTTGAGTAAATTAGCTATAGTCATATCATGAGCTGAATAAACCCAAAGCATTCTGTTAGGACTCAGGGTACCATTTTTCTTTTCGTACATATGAGTTACAATCTCGTTAAGTAAAGGACCTGAAACCAAACCTTTATTCTAATATCACTGTAGTCTATAACCATTATATTATATAATACAAATACAACTCATAAAATATACTTTGTAGCTTTGTTATACTTTTGACACTTGAGAAATAAACTAATACATAAAACATTTGTCGATAATTGGCTAATCGGAAATTCATTTTTCCTCAACAACATGGGTGTTATACATACAAGATACAACGTATTAAATTATCTAATACATTCGCGTTTAAAACATATTATGTCATAAAATGAATGCTGTAAATTCTGTAATTCTCGGGGTACGTATTTCAATTTCAGTTTTATATTTTTGGTCATTTTTTATGCTTGCCATTGCCTCACATGGCCCAATGGCCGACAAAATTCATAACCAGCCAATACCGCACAACATTCATAACCCTATACCACGCACAAAGATGACTCGATATTCCACTTGCATTTGATAAAATCAATATCCTAAAAGCACTTACGAAAATGGCTCGAGACCACCACACAGATTCTTTAGAATCCATAACATGTCAACATATACACATCAAATAAATTAATTTCAATAAATAGGTATAGAATATACTTTTTTTAATAACGTTGAAAAATAAATAACACATTGATCGGATTTTATGATAAAATTGAATCCTTCGATCATCTTAGGTGGCTTAATTATTTTCAAAGAACTTAAACATTTTATACATATATGAGCTATAATTATCACTTGACTATTATAGGTACTATAATAAATAATATAGTATCTAATTGGATACATACGTTGGTGTATTATTAGAATTTGTACATTTGGCCATTATGGATTAGTCAAAAATAATATTTTTACTATTTAACGTTAATGAATTCTGGGCTGTTACTTATATTGTATATATTGTAACAAATAACAATTATACATCATTTGAAAATCTTGTAATAATTATGTGCGTGCACTGTGTGGTTCTAGGATATTTGAATCAAATACTGAAATTTGTGTGTGGTTTTGACCCATGCGGTTTTCAATAATTTTTCTATAATGGATTCTTTAATACATAATTTTGAAGTTTTTAATTTAAACCAGAATAGGTGGCAGGTTTGAAATTATTTCAGTGAAGTTTTTATATTTGTAAGTAGGTATACCTTACACAGTTACACAATTGTGGACCTGACATTGGTCCAACCTAACAATCATAAGGTATATAAATCACACATAATATATGATTGTTTGATATCCTGAAAAGAAGATTTTTAGAAAGAAAAATAAAATATAAATTAACGGCTATCCAATCAGGATTCAAAATAAGACAGTCTGTTTCTCTGATAGAAAACCAAATTAAGGCCATTAAAAAAAAACTGATTCCTACCTAATTATATCACTTATATTTTACTTTATTGAGTTTAAAGATCTTAAAAGTCGCTGTTCTTTTTATTCCCATAAATCCATGCAGTATATTTATTTGACAAATAAATTATTATGATTATTTAGAATTTAGAAAAACACTTGCCAGCTTTTAATCTTTTCATAGTATTAGTGTGTGTCGCCAATTCTACATTTTCTTTAACTATTGTTAATAATGATTCAGGAAATATTCTTTTAGTCCACTCCGGTAACGTGTAGTTGAACTGTGACTATAAAACAAAATCATCACCTATTCTTATATTTATCAAAATTAAAAATTGTGCAAATTAAGTGTCACAATCACTATAAAATACAAAGAAGAAAAAAATAAAATTATTCTTGGTTAAAATGGACTAATAAAATAAAATACCCAAATTAAATATACTTTTTTGAGAAATAATCAGTAAATGGAACATAGTCAAATAAATAAAAGAAACACTTATTAAACAACAACCTAGCTAATCCTAAAATGGTTAGTATTTTTTTTTTTGTTAATTAGGTAAACAATTAAAACTTATAATGAAAATTTATTTTATTTTACAAAACGGGAAGAGTTCATTACATAAGATAGTAGTAATAGAGTAGTACAGTATAAAATGAATGCTTAACGGAAACTATAGGCTTGTTTATTGAAGAGGGAAAGAAGGCAAATACGGAAATGAAATATTCCAGATACAAGCTTTATATATATGTATTATTTGAACATAGAACATCAAATATACTATCACAGTATCTCCATAAACAAACTTCTTTTTTAATTAATAAAATGCTATTATTATTTATTAATGTAAAAATTAAAAACATAATATTTCAATAATAACTGTATACCTAGCAGTATTTCCATATTAAAATATAAGTTTAATTAGTTTTACTTTCAGTACATAAGGCATGAGTAACTAGTAATTAGTAACTAGTAATTGATTTTTCAACACTTCTATATATTTGTCTTAAAATATAAAACGAAGTTACAAAAGTATATGACCTATGTATTAAGTTTAAAATAATTAAATTGTCAATAAAATAAAATAAAACTGATTATTAATAAACATAAAATATGAAAATATTAAATTCTAAGCAAAAAAATGTATATGTGCAGCTGTCGTTATAGACTAATAATAATTACATTATGAATTATGATGCACCGAAATAAAAAAGAAATGGTGAAATATTTTAATTTCTACCAACATTATAATATAAAATTTATCGTCATAATAGAATGTAAAATTATAAAAAACGCAAAAATCTACTTTAAAAATTACTATATCTAACACATGGTTCAGGGCCGTATTTAGAGGGGGGGATTGGAAACATTTTCCACGGGCGGCCAAATATTGATCTATTTCGGGGGGCAGGCACTGCTGTAACCCGGTGTAGTATTGTATCAATAAATACTTTTTTTTTGGAAAGACTTTGTACTATGACACGACCCTTGTGAACTTAGCAGTGCAATGATAATGGGTAAGTGCTAGCATAGAATATAATTTATATTATTTTAACTTAAACACAGTTGTAGATAGACAACCATGACTTAACCATAAAGAATTAAGAACTAAAAATGTGTTAAGAAAAATCAAAAAAGTGGATCTATTTTTTGGTGGGGGGGGGGTAAAATGATGGTCGCCCCAGAGCGCAAATATTGTAAATACGGCCCTGAATATGATGAATCAGTAAGCATAGTATATTTATAAATTTACAATATACATATAATTTATTAAAGCACCTATAGTAGTATATGTTTAATATTTACCTCTACAAGAAGTGCATCATATAGTACCGTAGTAGATTTCATAACTGTTTTTTTACCCATTTCCAAGTTGCTATTTTTTTCTATATATTTGAACGCCAAACTAAACTGTGTGTAAAATTTTTGTACCTCGAAATCGTTTAGTACGTTGTCCATCTCCTGTGAATAAAGTGGACAAGATGCTGACATTGACAATAACTAAAAGAAATTCAATACAAACATTATGATAAAGTTGTAATACTAAGACGAATATAATGATTAAAAAATGAACCGCAACATATATTTATGCATATTTTTGTGTTTTTATAACACACGAGACATGTACCTATACAAGTATCAAATACAACAATTAAATCGAAAACAAAATGTATAGGTACTCGTATTTAAAATCTACCAGACCTCAAAAATGTGTACAAAATGGCAAATGGTTAAGACAAACAAAGTCATGTCATGCTTACTATTTGATATTTTCTACATGAGCTCAATTATTTTGAGTTTATTGGTACCCAAAATCCAAATGAACTTTAGCGGTGTCGTTAGACGAAACTGAGCTGAATAGATGAAAAAACTTACATTTTCACGACAAATTGAATATTACGTCATGACCTCAATGCGTCAGTCTGTCTACTTGAGAAAAAAATACATTAAAAAAACTAAAAGCACTCTAACCATCCGTCTTGAAACCTAGCCTAACTAATTTCTCCTTGTATATAGTCCACTCTCGATTTTTACTTAGTCTGCATGCACAAATTATGAATACGTGACTTTTTCTAGCTTATCGTGTTTTTCGTTTTAAATAACTACCGTGGTAGAATATATTGTTTTATTACGAGATAAAATAAACACATCGCCGAAATTAACAAACACAAAATATTAATTTTGAAAACATTATTAATTCATTCTGATAAAACAAACACGCCCAAGCCACTATACATAAAATATACATACGTTATCCATGGATTTCGGCACAGTGTGTATCGGAACTAGTTGAATGTGCTTTCCAGGTTCCATGTTCCAATCGTCAGGTCCCACGGGAGGATACAAACCGGCTAGATTAGCCTGGGCACTCGTTATGGTCCGATCGTAGTCAGAGCTCCGTACATAAACGTCTTCTGCAGAATACACTTCCGGCAACCATTCGCTGTACCGTTTTTTCAACCATTTTCCCAATTTAAATTGTTTTTCTATTCCAGACTAAAAGGCAAAAAACATAACCCACATATTGGCACATATTGTAGTAAGTCCATCGTTTTAAGGTTGATGATGATGCACAAAACGATGAGTACCTACTATAACATTTTTTTGTTATATATCCAACTTTCATACTATACCATCCCACACACAATAAGTATAATAAACTGTAATGTTATAAATCTTAAATTTTGTTTGATTACTATTTGTATTTTTTTCTAATATATATTATAATATAGTATGACATCATGTGAATTTTTGCAATTTTCACAAATTTAAAATATAACACATTGATACACAACACAATATGAATATATACAATTTTAAATTTATTTGTATTAAAGAGACGTTATAACAAATTAATATATATATATAGCATACATCAGCGTTTAAAGTCGTTATCGCAGATAAAAAAACTAATGGTATTATTGTAAGATAAAGACAATACTCATTATCTTTTTTCAGATTTTCAAATGCTCAATTAAATTAATTACTTACTGGCGTTAGTTGGCCAAATCCCATAGGCCAATAAGATTTATTAGCGTATGGGTCGTTTGTATAAGTATGCTCAATTGACCGATCACCGTGTCTGTACAACTAAATCATATAAAACAAATAGTCTTAAATATTTATTCTGAAATCATAATTTATTAAATGTTGATAGATGCATTATGAATTTATGTTTTATAAGAATATCAGTATTTTAATTTTCATAACATATTAAGAGATTTTTCAAATATATTATTTATCATAACAATAAAATATTAATAACAAACAAAATTACACAATCGTTTTAAGAGTAGAAGTAAATAAATGCGAAATACAGATTTTTATCAATTATTGTCAACCATATGTCCATAAATTAGTCACAGAAGTTCTAAGGCACCTACCTACTTTAGAGACATGCACATATATATGACTACGCAGTCTAAGTATAATATATGTTATACATTAATAGTATTTTATACTATAGATAATTGTAATCTTATTATATAGATCATTATCCTAATTCGATAATTGGTACATATACTAGTGGCAACAATATAATTTGTGAGTATGCTCGTTTTACCACCTACAAAATGTATACTTTCTATAATTCGCAAGTTATTGTTATCATGGTTTTTTAACTGTAAAAATAATATGAACTATAATAATAGTTAACAATCTAGTTATCAACTATCTGATTTGATGATATTCAACATTTCAAAGCACAGATTGATATCTAATGGCAAATATTTGTGTTTAAACATAAAAGCAATTTTTGTAATTTCAATCGTCGTTGCATACAACCGGTAGAACATAAAGATTATTTAGTGATTATTATTATAATTATTCATTCATATGAATATCATTAGATAATACATACTAGTGTGGAAAATACGAGATGTCCGTATTTATAAGCCAAAGGATCCACGCTGATAATATTTCCAATATTGCAGATAAATAATATTGTTGTTACAGTTAATTTATTCATATTTTCAAACGGTCGTAAAGTTTGATCTTATAAAAAAATATGTATACGAATAAATGCACTATGCCATATTCTAGAACACACTGATTAGGTATAGTAGTTATATACGTATACGTAACAATGATTATATTATGAACTGACCGAACTGTTACATATACCTGCATACAAACAAATAGCAATACCTAACCATTGAACTACAATTATATTATAAACCGCTTTTAATCATTTCGATTTATTTTGTGGTTACTATGAAAATAATATTATAATAAGTAGTACGCAATCATTATTTGAAATTATAAACTAACAGATTTTATGAAACAGTTATCTAAAAATATTATACATATTATATTATCATTTAATTAGATTATAAATTATCAACAAATACTGTTATGCATTATATTTGTTTATTTGAATAGGTACATCAACCTTATGCACTATATTTATACACTTAATACATCTTAAATGATTTTTATTTTTAAAATGTTTATAATTTACTCTCCTAACAGCAGTACCTATAACAAACACTTAACTATGCCATAGTGAATATTTTGTATACCTCTGCTTTTAATTATCTATATTGCCACACGATTTGTTATCTTTACTCTTACATAATCTCATTATTAATTGGCCTTCGTAGCTTTATTCAGATATCAAGCACTAATATTATTATATTCTATATTTCATTATAAAATGTCATATTTCATGGTATTATTTACATATATAATACCATAATATTAATTATGGAGTTACCATAGTGCCATGCTGGTAACAAATAAAAAAAAATATCTGTATAATACATATATATTTGTAATTTGTATAGTTAATAGTTAAAATACAAACAGATCGGGATTAAGGATAATAATTAAGAAGATAGTAGAAAGTAATAATTACTACAGAAAAGTATTTAGGCTGGCCGATACGAGGGAAATGAGCAGACTAATGATAGAATTTAAGTCTGAAACGAATCGGAAAAAAATATAACGAATAGATGGAGACTAAATTAATCCAAATCGCTAGTTTTTTAATGAATTTTAATTGTCTGTACTTGTAGTATATTTAATATGCATATGAAATTAACTTCTGATGAAATAACTTAAGTATTCAATGTTTAAAATAAATATTACTTCCAAGCTCTCGCTTATGGCAGTTTGAAAGTATATATTGATACAAAGCATAAATTATATTCGTGGTTCTTATCATAATAAAGGAACCACAAAATATTAGTTTTATATAAGTTCAAAATAGTTCTGAACAACGTTGTTTTAAACATTTTCACTTTTAATTTTTTTTTTTTTTTAAGATTATGCAAATTAACTGTCAAACAATAATTCTGTATGTAAATAAATTAGATATTTGGTATAATAAGATCAACTAACGATAAATAACATTTTCATGAGAATTATTCTTTTTACTTTTATTTCATGAATTATAGATATCATATTAATGTATATTATAATATATTATTTTAATTTTCCTTAAAAACATTTTTATTGAATAATCATTATTCATTATTATGCAAATTCTATGTAAATATATTTTTTTTGTTTTCTAACAACTTGAAGATAAATAAACATATTTTTATATTTTAATTAGTTTTAAACTATTTCAATATTCAAATACATAATCGTACAAATGTATATTATGTTATTATACATTATGACTATTGTGACTATTTCGGCATGGTATTATTATTGTTTTTTAATCGTATAAATATTATTTTATTTAAAATAAAGAGAATAATAAGCAAAGAATATATTGTAAAATTCTCAATAAAGTAAAATATGGGGTTATTAAATGTTCTACCTCTTTTAATTTTACGTAATCGCTTTTGAATGTTGAATCCTGTTAGCTGTATAAAACGTTCATATAACATATACGGTACAAGGTCAAAGATCAATATTTCTTGGGTCATGTTACTTTATGTTCTTTTATGTTCCATTATGAATGCTTTACGAATTATGATAAACCAATTAATGACATTATCAATAAATATTAAATACGTTTTACCTAAATGCCAACATATATTTTTGATTAATATTATAAAGAACCAAGGAAGAATTTGTAATTAAAAAAAAGATAAATTATTATTTTCGTTATTGTCTTAATTTTTCGTTCGAGTAAAAGCAATTGAGGAACCTTTGTTTGAGTTATTCGTAATATTTTTTAATAAAATGACTGATTAAGATCTTTTGTGCCACAGATCGGAATTTAAACAAACGAAATACATTCATTCATCTGGCTCTGAAGTGATTTACTGTCCGCAAAACTCAAAATAAATAAATAAATTGATAAAAACGTAATTTTATACAATTGCACCCAGTAGCGTGATTATGTGGAGAGTATGTGGGGACATAACTCCTCAGAGCCTTTTTTTTTTAAATAACTATAATTCAATTCTTGTGATCCCTTGGTTACAGAATATTTTAAGATTTTTAAATAAAAATGAATGGACAATGGTTAAATTATCACAATTAAAAGATAAAACTGATAAAAAAAATTACGACTTACGACTTCTGGTATCATTTTTAACCGCTCAAAACTCATACCTTCTTAAAATAAACACAGAATAAATTAAAACTGTTAATATTGTTAATAATTTTAATTTTTGCAAATTACACAATAATATAGCCCAGAATTTAAATACCCTTGGTTGTAAAGCAAAACCCGTTTTAGACTTCTGTAGTCTAGAAAAACAATTATTCCCATGCATTGAACTTGTTAGGAAATCTTACAGAACTCATACAAGAAAAAAATCTGTAAAACGTTGTTAGATAAAACTAAACAAAATATATGAAAAAAACTACGTTATCACACCATCTTAGAATTTGTTGATTGTAATAGGTACATAAAAACAAAAAATGTTTAACCGTGGTATTTTTACTTCATACTTCAATATAGTCACGACTAACATATATAAAAACGAATAATTTTCTTTATGACTTTAATAATAAACATCATATATAATTAATACATTTTTCTAATTAAAATATTTGCTGTGGTAGTAAAAACACCCCTCAATACCCCTTAGTGATGCCTATGACTCCATCGGTAATATTATATTTCATTAATGAGAACTGCATTAAATAAATATTTTTACCGCATCACGAACATGGATCAGTTGGCTTTCCAATTACATTAGTTAACATATACAGTGACGCAACAAGGGGGGGAGGTGTTAGGTACTGGTACCTACTTACACGCCGCGGCACCAGAGAGTACTTGCCATTTTGGGGAGGCATCAATATTAACATCACGCGCTGTATTACAGAATATGTTTGTTATACAATTGTATTAAAATATTAACATTTTTCATTGATTTGACATAATATTATGTTATACAGCCGGCAGCATTTACATGAGCCACGGTTTCAGCGGTTACCGACCGCAACAGCTGTGCGACCCTCGACTGCAACCGTTCCGGTTTCTGGGGCCCACCGTCCGGTCCGCGGTGGCGCTCTCGGTGCTGTGGCTGGCCGCTTGTCTGTTGCACGCCTGTCTGCTGTACGTCTCGGCACGGTCGCTGTTCCGGAACGGGCAAATCGTCGTGCTGGCCACTATACTTATTTCGCTCACGTTGCTCACGTTGCTGTCCACTGCTGCGCTAGTGCACATCGACTGCAAGTACGATCCCGATTGACCCGGCCCGGAGGCCCAAATGCCAACGGCTTCGGTCAGCGTAATTGGGCCCAGCCATTTGTCCACGGACAGAGCCACGAAGGTAGCGTGGGTCATATAATACCATATACCATATACCGAGATATACCGGGTGCCGCGTATGTCAAACGCTTTGTGTTTATATGACAACATTTTGTAATTTATGTATTTTATATCATGTACATTTGTATTGTATATTAATGTATATACATCGTTATCGTTGACGAAGTAAAGCTTTGTATCGTTACCGTAAAAAAAAATTATGAACAATACGACATTCGTACGCGAAGAACATGCTTTCGTGTACAAAATACGAATATGATCTTATAATTTATTATTGGTACCATATAAATTTAATGTGAATTAAATGATATACACAGCTTTCCTGCTGTCAAACTGTGATAGCACATAATATTTAAGTTCCCGAAAACATTTTTTTTACACATTTCTGAGCTATACCTAACCAACAAAATTAAATTAAAAAAATAAATGGATAATTAATTGCGTATTTAAATTACACAGTTCACAGAAACCTAAAAACATTTTACTCTAAAACTTAATTTTTTAATGCATTTTAACGTAAAATGTTCAATAACAAATAATTCTTTAAATCCAAAACAAGAATTCAAGACAATAATTTAAAAACTTTTCAAGCTCTTATTTATTATTATTTCATTTTGTTTTTTTGATTAGAATAGTAGACTTCTGTAAATATTTGATGACTTAATCTGTCCATTGTTCGTTGTATAAATCATTTTCACAAATGTATAAATGTATAATATGTAAATATAAGTCAAAAAGTTTTCAACAAAATTCAATAGTCAAAGAATATATTATGCTATAATAAGTTCAATATAAATGTTAAAAACCATTGATTAGGTTAAAAATAAAACATAAATAATATTTTGTAAACATATTGAATAGTATTTTCAGAGTGTATACCCCTGTACTCGGTTTTAAAGTATTATGTTCCAAAGTTAAATTGTTTTCAAACAAACTTCGTTGTTTAATAGGCATACAACCTAATTCTTGGTTAGGTACATACAATTAAACATTATTAGGATTATTTTTAAAAATTGTTGTTTTTTATACTAAAACCCTATATCTATAGCTTAAATATAATATCCAATCATGGTGTTAATTGTTGAATAATGATTTTCAAAGCCATTAAGATATTACAGAAATTATGATAATAAGTTATTAATAACGTACCACAGCCCACAATATATGTATTGTATAATGAACCTACCACATAATATACCTATATGTGCTTAAGAATTATATTACACTAGTTTTTTTTATTTTCAGAAAATCTTATTTATTATTGTTTATTGTATATAAACTTTTGATTTAATTTACAATTTGTTAACTATATATTTATTATAATGTTCTTCTGATTCAAGACTTTAAGAATAGGTACTTTAAGGTTTACAAATAAAATAATGAATATAATTAAATATGTTTAGAACAAAGGCCATATAAATAAGTTTATAATTTCTATGAATTTATAATCTACGTGTATTCAATAATTGTAAAGCTAAAAATGTTCACATGTAGTCATGTAGAATATTTAAAACGGTGTACAAAAGATATAGGTTGTTCATTTTTAAATAAATATAACTTGAATATAGTTTGAATAAATAAGATAACTAAAAATTGTAAAATTGTAATATTGTTAGTTTCTAATTAATACCTTTTGAATAACTTAAAAAAATGATTTTGTTTGAAATTTGTTGAAATCAATTTTTTTACATATGATATTTTTGATTGTTTGACTTATAGAGTTGTGTTTGATATATATGCTTGTTCAAACGTCATACGAACCAAATTCAAAGTTTAGTTTAAAATTTTCTGATACAAGTTATTGACTACAGTAAAGAAAAAACCCTTACAGGTCACTTGGGGTCTTGAATAGACATTCGGAAATTACTTAAAGTTAACCCTGATACCAAAACTTTAGAAAATCTATTTGAACTCTATATTGTCTAAAGTTATCCAGTTATACATTTTCTTACAAGAATATAGTATTTTTAGAAAAATATTTTTAAATCATATTTACATTTTTTACATTTTTTTTAAACTAAAATTATCAAATTTAGTAATTTAAGTAGGGATCAAATTTAGTGGATTTGTAAATAATATTTAAAAAACATAATATATCTATTGCAATGAACACGGAGATTAAAAGGATTAATAAACATCTAGAGTCTGTCTTCCTAGTAAGTACCTATACGAACATTGATTAAATAAATATATAATATGATCAATGCTACTAATAATACCAACGATATTAAGTTTAATTTGAAAATGAAATAATAATTCGGTACTCGGAAGGTATCGTGGAGGTATTAAATATATGTAAGTACCTATGTAATCATCAATTTATCATCGATGGTACTGAATGTTTTATATTTTTGGTTTATTTTACTAATGTCAATAATATTTACATTAGCTGTATTTTAATACCTGGAAAGAATGAAAATGGAACTTTCAATGGGCTTATGAAGAAAGCGTCGCCAGTCACAAATTCAAGTACCCAACAGCTCTCTGAAATTTGTACTCTCAAACAGTCTCTCACCAGCACGACAGTTCATCCTTTTAAACATTTTATATATGTTTTTTACAATCAATTAATATGTTTGATGAATTTAGCATACTAGTTCTACATGATTTTATGAAATAAAAAGTTGTATGATTGATTTTATTGACCTAGTGAAAGAACACTGGTAATAAATAATTATTTTTAAGAAAATGTATACAGTTTTTACTTTTGTAATGTATACAACAATTATCAAGCATATACCATTCACTAGTCTCGATTACAAATATAAACTTAAATAATAATATATAATACATATATTCACTGTTTAGTAGGTAGTAGGTATATATGTATAATATTCATAATGTTATACGATCAACCCATGAAACATCTGATGGGTCATCACTCATCATTTTATGGTATATATTATTAGTAATTTTGTTTGGTTTTTAGTGACATTTTCTCCTACTAAACTTACTCTTTATTATTACTTTATATTATATTGATAGCTCAGTCAGTCATTGAAATGTTTGATGTGTATATTAAATACTTCAAAAAACCATTATTAAGTATTTTTTTTTTTTTTTTTTTTTTAATTGATCCTGAGCCCGGCAACTGAGGCCATTAGGTACTGTAGGTTTTTGTATTGATGGTTTGTAGGTTTTTGGAACGGTAGGGGGAACACGTGTGTGTTTGTTTTGGCAGAATTTCGAATGGGGCACCCGTAGGTTTCTGCCATGCCCCGGGGGTGGGGGATGGCAGCACTTGCTCTCCGGTCACCGCGACTTGTCCGGAGAAAAATGCCGCCCGGTGGCCGAGGATCGAACCGCGACCGGCTGCGTCGCAGCGGAAGAGTCAGACCACTCGGTCACCTCGTCCCCCTATTAAGTATTTTGTAACTTATGATAAATAATGTAAGTACCTACTAGAAAAGTAGAAATGTGATGTAATTAATTAAATTATGACCAATCCGTTATCCCTGTATCAATACTTTGTCTAGGGGCCCTGGTTAAAAATCATACCATACTAGTTGGTCTTAGTTCCTACAAAAAAATATATTTTCTTTGATGGTCTCTCACAAAGATTTTCTTGAGCGTTCTTTAAAGAGTATTTTTCAAATACACTGTCTGTCTGGTTAAAATATTTACTTCGTCAGATTTATACTTGTGCGTGATGTTTTTTTCAATAACTATTTCATTTTCACTTTTATAAAAAGATTTACATAGGTACTCGTATTGTAACATGTTCTTTTACACGTCGTCATCGTCCGATATCATTTTTTAGACATTCATAGAATGAAAATTTAAAATCGTCAATAACATTTATACGTTTGCAGCCTTTTTCACTAAACGAGACTTTCCATTTTATCTATCGAATATAAACACATACGCTATTATAGTGACATAATCAGTTTACCTATAATATTATTTTGTCACATATTTAACGAGTTAAATTATTTATTATTTAATGGTTTTGATAAATAAAGATTTTTACTTACGGTTCAAACAACCCCTTGGTATTTTTTTTACGTATATATAAAAATATTGTTATATATAACAAGGAGGGGTTATGCCCCCCCCCCACAATTGAAAATATCTGCGTACTCCACTGATTCGCTGAATTTTCTTTAATTTAAATATCGTATGCCAATGCTAAATTATCCGGTGCTAAATTCTAGGCGCTGAATTGTCACGTGCTAAAATAACTGCACAGAAATGTCACAAAACATGATAAACATTGCTTATGAGTTATGGCACACGCCACACACAATAATAAATACGAAGAAAATAAAGAAATATATAAATATAAAAAAATATGAATAAATAATAATATGTTTTACATGGCATGATGTTGTCATCTGATTTTTTTCTTATGGAGAAGGTAGTGTTTTTTGACCAGACAAAATCCAAGTAACTTGATTGCCCAATACCACCTCAATCTATACCCATGGTTTGCTCGTTACAATAATTAATCAAAAGTAATTTATTCACGTGTTATATATTTTCTTATACTAAAATATATAACAGATATGTACAACAAATGACTAATAACTATTTATCGACCCGACAACACACACGTCACAACTATAAAATACCTTAAGTAAATATACAACGGAACTTTGTAATTAATCCAACAGTAAAAATAAAAATACTTTAAAAACTGCTTCTCAAAAATTGCACGGAAAAAAATAAACTGTGCATGTGATCTCACTTACGCCTATATTGAGTGCTGTTAAAGTGTTAAATATAATCTTTTAAGTGCCTATAAATCGCCTACATGCCTAATAGATTAACAGATACCTATACCGAACTACAGCAGAAAACCTTGACTGAAAATTATACTTTCAATATTATATTAATATTAGGTATATAAATTATTTTTACTTTTTAAATTATTATAGAAACTAAATTTCTAGTTGTTGTACTATCAATTTAGTTTTAAATAGTTTGATAAGACTCTTAACTTTATAATCTTATATATACTTTATAGACACTAACTAGGAACTCATAATATTACTCATATGATTTATTTTTAAAAATGTTTAATAAAACAAATGAAGGCGGGTTTCCACTGTACACGCCAGCGCATACGTGCACACAAATCATTTGCTGTGATTGGTTGTTTAGGTTAGGTTACCACACGATTATCCAAATTACCGTGTTGTTGGGCATAGCTGAACATTTTTCGTGTATACGGCACACGCATTAGTGGAAACCCGCCTTGACTAAGCCTTGGCCTTTAATTATATCATGAAACATATTTCTGTGAAGTTTCAGTGTGTCAATATTTAAGCCATCCTTGTAAAATGTGCATGTTATTTGTGGTCATATTTTTTGAATCAATTAAAAAAATGTCCACATTACATAAAAATAATCAAACTTCACAGTTAAATCTTAGCAGTAAGCCAGAAAGTATAGAAGTTGTACTGTTTTCATATTTAAGAGGTTTTTTCGTATTCTAGATTCTTTTGGTGCATCTAAGTTTAAATCTGACCATACTTTTTTTGCAAATTCCCATACAATGTTGAATGCATCTCTCAAATTTGAAATAATATCCTCTAAAATATGCAAACGTGGAGCGGAAAGTATAAGATATAATGATTTACTTTGCAAAACTGCGTATTTTTAGTCTTCATGTTTAAAAATACTTATCACTATTTTAATCACTACCTATAGTCTATCGTATAGGTATGCAGATTTCAATTGTTTAAAATATTAATTTGCCTTAAAACTTGCATCGTGATGTTCAGTTTTTGGAAAATCTGACAAAAATGTCAATAGTTTAAAGTAATTGTTCATTACAGAGAACAGAGAAGTATATCGTGACTTCCATCTAGTAGTACAGAATGGCCTTGTGGAAATTATATATTCTTTTTGATTCATTTTAAACCAAGATAGTCACTTAGGCGATTGTTTAATGAATATAATTAATTATCTTATAAGAAAATTATAAATAAATAAATGATTCATTAATTTATAATATAATTATCTCTAACTTTTTCTTCGTTTTGCATACAAATATAAATATTTTTAATATATTCTTATGTAAAGCTCATACTCTAATACCTATAAATATTAATAATATGTATACAAATAGCAATCGTATGAGACACGATGAAAATTAAACAAATAAATAATTTTATTAGTGTCGATTATAGTGGCATTATATTTTGAACTTAACTCGACTGATCACACCAACAGGCAACAAGTGCATAAATTCAATGGCCAACCGATAAAACGTGACGAATTTCCATAATTAGATATAATATACCTGCATCTCAGACATGTAGTTATTACTTGCACAGGTTCATTGATAAAAGTTAAGTATTTCCATTACACTAATTTGCCATTATTTGTGTCTATTACGTGTTGTATCCTTCACAATCTTTCCTACACGTTTGAGGTGAGAGTGGTCATCTTAAAATATCCTCTTATTCGCTCTAATATTATTAATACCAAATCCAACATTTCACATTTCAACATTTGTATATTCCACGGCTTGTGGTTGAAAAATCTTGAGACATTCCACTTGAAAGTGATTATACCTGCAAATTAATTAAAACATAGTTATAATTATGTCCTATATATTTAAATGCATACAACTACGAATATGTATAAAGCACTTTTGTAGGTATAACTGTATTAGTAGGTACTATTTAGTGCTACCTGTGGAAGAGGAGGAGGGCAGATGACCCCCACTGTATGCACTGTGATGAGCCGGAAGACACTGTGGAGCACACCCTATTCAACTGTCCGTTCTGGGCAGAAGACAGACGGGAGATGGAACAATGCGTCGGCCATCCACTACATCCCAACGATGTGTCGGATATCATCCTGGGGCCGGGGCAGGAGCTCCTCCCAGATGATTTATTCAGGAGGCGATGTATCTAGGCGATGGCGGAGGGACAGAGGTTGGCGTTTGGCAAAATGGTGGAGCAGATCCTCGGGCGGAAGGAGAATGCAGAGCGGGCCAGGCAGGCGCGATTATTATAGTATGGTGACTGAACTTGTAGGCCGAAGGCCAAATATCTAGGGTGGTTAGAGGCCCCCACGTATGTACTCGTATAGCTATTATATGTTGCTATTTGTCATGGCGAATAAACGATACGGGTTCGGGTGGCAGTATTGTGCTAAACAGTTCCCATCCGTTCCCGGTTTCAAAAGGAAAAAAAAGGTACTATTTAGTGCTAATAGGACCACTGCATTTTTCTCGTTAAAACCTGTAGCTCGTTATGTACGAATACCACGAGGAATGCAAACATAGGTGTAACCAGAATTTGTCGGTTAGTGGGGTTAAATGTACAATTAAATACTACATACACATGAATGAATCCATTTTATTGATATTTTTTAATGAAGCTAAATAAACAAACTTCATCATGGGGTGATTGGAGGTTACCCCTGGCTATGCCTCTGATTGCAAAAGTGGCATTTGGATTACAGCATAGTTATATTTACTTCCAAAACGTCAAACTTGTGACCTTAAAAACAACGAGCAACGGTCAAAACTTACAATTATTTTACCCCACGAACTTGTGCAAGTAGTAGGTAATAGGTACACATCTGAAATCCAGATACATCTAATATATACTATGAACTAAAATTTAAATTTGTTTAATTGGTTTGTCATTGAATATAAGTGCCTACTTATTGGTATGATAAGTCGAGTAAAGTTCACATAAAGTCAGTATAATCGACAGTAAAAAATTATTAACATTGTCATCATGCCTTATACAATTGATGTTTGAGTACATAATATCATAAATATTTTATTTTTTTTGGAACTGTTGCAGTTCAACATTATAAATATTTATGTATTATAAAAGGACGACTACACAACTCTTTTGAAACCGTTTATAACGTATCTATTGTATAAATATTCATTTATAAGACTACAATATAGTTTATAAATAACCTGACACAGTGGCACTATGTGTATGATGTATAATATGTAATTTAAGTATTATATGATACATTCAGTCTTAACTACCTATAAGCTAACCTATTATATGAAAGAATATACATGATTTGCATTCTGATCCATTAAATTGAGTACCTACCTAGAACCCTGCTCGACTTAAAAAAAAGTTTACAAAATATTCATTCCTGGATCCTCATTACTTTTGATGTGCTTCTATTAAAGTTTTCATTGATTTATTGGCAGAAATAAGTATGTACCTTAGTCGCAAGTTGTTTTAAGTATGAGAATCGATCTGACTTACAATTTCAATATGTACTTTATTTCATAGCTATTTTATAACTTACACTGTATACACTATACGCATATTATTTTAATTTATAAATTAACAAACATTTTTAGCCAGCTCCCATCCCCTCCAATTTGTTTAATCGGTTTCAAAATACCACCTAATAGTAGCAAATTAATTGCAAATAATTGCGAATCAAGTTTGACTAATTGCAGATTTCCTTTTTTAGAAGGCAATAAGCCCCCCTGGCTACACCTCTGGACATACATGTCTTACCTCTTACCAGTTGGCTATTACCATATTGTTCTATGCTATTACGACGTACTAAATATTTCCAATGCAATTTATATTTATAACCTACATGTGTGTACGTATTATACGCAGATAATGTAAAAATAGTAAATGTAAAGATGTTTTAAAATTTAAAGACAGACAATGAAAAATCACTATAACAAAAATTAATTTAATTTAAAAAACTTTAGTATGTGATATTTTCGAAGTACCTTCACTGGGAGATTTTTTCATTCTGTGAATCATATTTTATTTTTTCTCCAAACATCGCATTCGCTTATTGTTCTACATTTATTTGAATGGATTGTGCTATAAAAATATTGAAAATTAAAATAAATAAGTAAAAATATTTAACTAACCATACTTAAACAACAAAAAGGATTTGTACAGAAATCAATGGCGGATTCAAAAATTAATCAAGTGGTAGAAGAAGGGGTAATTAAAATTTGTCCAATACCAAAAAAATATCAAATACATTTAATACGATTCATTATAATATGCTCAAGTCGCTCAAGGGTGCGGTCGTATTTATTTCTCCCCCCCCCCCCCCCATTTGGATCAGCAACTGACTGAAATATCGGAAATGTCCAAAGTCACTCAATAACACTACATATACAGTATATTTGTATGTGTTTTCACAAGTCTATATAATTTCACCTTTCAGTTTTCATTGTACCTATCTGGTTATGTATGTCTAGTCGTACCTACATGTTAAGTAGGCACGTCCTGTACTCTGTAGTATGTAGGTTATAAAAGGTTATCACTTATCACATATTCACTTATCACTCTACGATTTGTACATTTATACCTACTATTTATACTTATATAATATAATATACTAGCTACTCACATTTACATAATAAAACACCTAGATTCCAGGTATTAGTGTACTGTATAATGTATAGTGAGTACTGCTATTCTTCACATAAAATTCCACGTTAACATAATATTTATTTTTTTTTACTCTAAGAAGATAATCTCGCCTCAAGCTCAAGCACAGGAATTTGAGGAGAGGTGATGTTTGTACCTTATGTACCTACTTGTTTATACTGTGAAATGTGAATGCCTTATTTGTATTATTATTATTATTATTATTATTAAATGATACCTAGGTACAGGTCGGAGGTACCTGTATTCATTGTGCGAGTACCTTAAGTACCTAGTACCTACCTTATACCAAATATTGATTAAAATAAATGATAGGTAATATTGCACCCATATGACATTAATATTTAATCAAATACCTACTTCACACTTATACTATGAATACAATTTCCAACAAATGTATTTTATTAAAGTTAAGCCTATTAGACCTGTTCTTCATTTTTAATTTGGTCTAAGGTGATAAACATAAAATGAAAGTCTAAAAATCAGTGCGGATGCGGGAACGAAGTCCCTCATTTTTTAAAAAAAATATTCTCGTTGGTACCCTCCCTAATCAATAAGACATATAATAATTAGATGGTCAAATTATTTTAACACTTTTGCATCCCCCTTCTAATTTTTTTTTCTTATCAAGCACTATTCAAAATAGATCTAAATCTATTGATTATTCTGTGGTTTAATCACATGTTTATTATTAAGTATTAAGACATTTAGCGAGTGTTATCAAACAACCATATGGTCAGAACAGACAGAACATCAGGTTGTCCTTATCAGTGTTTACAATCTAGAAATTCTTTCGAAATCGTTAGAATGATGTTTGACTTTGAATGTCAAATGTGTTAAACTACAAAATAGTAAACACAACAAACTTTACAGGGTCAAATCCTCTAAATGGTAAGTATTTATAGTGTACAGAAATATTGAATAGAAAAAGTAGAATCCTACATAATCTACATTATCGACTTCCTTATTCTCCCGAATATAGGTACCTACTCAGTATTTTATCTAGCTACCTTTGTGTTTTATTTTCTATCTAATCTCATGGTTTTACAGTAGGTACTAGGTAGTAATTATAATAACTCAGTTCATACTTACCAATCACTCAATCAATAATGTTCATCATTTATTTGTTATACAGCAGCAGTTACCGGTAACTTACATTTCAGTAACGTGTCTGATGATAATAATAACAGTGTTTAATAAAACCAATAATGGTGTTCACACAAGTGGTATCCATCAAAGACAAAGCCCCTGGAACCAAAGTATACAACTATGCTGATTCATTCTGGTGTACATATATTGTGTCTGTGGTGGCTGCCAGTGTTGCAGAAATATGTGAGTATTTTTACAAGATTCTTTTAATTTCTAAGTAGGTGCAAATCACCCAAAAATATTTGGGAGACTCAAGCACCAAACAAATTGTATAGGAAACAAAGCTATGACGGGCTTTGTCCCTCACATTGTTCACTTACCATACCTTATTTGTTACATTTTATAAATATCAACAAAATAATTTATTGATATGAATCAATATTATATAATGCTGAGTTTTTAGAAAAATTCATTCTATTTAGCTTAACCTAAAACATAGTTTTCTTAACACACAGTTTGAATTCTATACCAACAAACTCAATTTTTGCATGTTGTGAATTTTTTTAATTTTTAGTTCTTTTTGATCCTTTATAGGTCATTTTTTTAATTTAGTCTCGTTTTTTTCATTGAATATAAGTATAGATGGTATTTGTATTAATACAATTTAATAGATTTTGTACATTTACATTTTGAATTTTGAATTTATTTTTTAAGATTTTAAATGCATTTTTCAAAGTTTTTTACTGCATTAAATCAAGAATCCCAATTATACTAGACATTTTATTACAATGGTTACTTGTTTTTCATATTTATTTAAAATTTTTCAATATTAAGAGATCACCAGATTGAATAGTGTGCTGTTAGTATATTAGTGAGAATTGACTTATTATAATATTTAAAGGTAAGATTATATTATTTAAGGTCCCGTGTAGCCTTTAATTGATATTTTTATTTTTCAAGTAAGTTATGATAATTTTAAAATGTACAGTTTCAAAAAAGCTATAACTTGCTAAAAAATAATATCAATAAAATCCTATGTGGGCCCTTAGATAATAATCTTACCTTTAAATTTGATGATAGGTCAATTCACTCAATATTAAAACTAAGAGGACACTATTGAATCTTGTGAACGAAAATCTGTTAATTTGCGGAGACAACACATGTGGGAACGACATCCTCTTATGAATTACGCACAAATCATTAGATTTGAGTAATTGCTAAGTCCGAAATCTATCTTGACTCATTTTAGTGGTATGTGTCCATGTTCTTAATTATTATTGAAATTAATTGCAAAATTTGAGGTGTTAAAATTAAGACTCGAGGTTTTTAGCACCCCTGATATTTATGCTAATGTGGCTATGCACTTATTCGTAATAACTAATAATAGTCTGACACAAACTCATACCTAAATACTTATTTATATTATGTTATTTTTTCTTGTGCAGTGACATACCCATTGGATTTGACCAAGACCCGTCTGCAAATACAAGGTGAAGTAGCTACTAGCAGCAAACCTACACAGTATAGAGGCATGTTAAAAACTGCTGTTGGCATTGTCAATGAAGAAGGTGCCCTGAAATTGTGGCAAGGTGTGACACCTGCACTCTATAGACATGTAGTGTATTCTGGTATTAGGATTGTATCGTACGAAACCATGCGTGATAAATTATTATTAAAAAACGAAGATGGATCATTTCCAATTTGGTATTCACAAATAAACAACACAAATTGGTAGATTCTCTGATTTATTATTTAACTTCAGGAAATCGGCCATAAGCGGAGTCATGTCTGGTGTTATTGCTCAGTATTTTGCTAGTCCAGCTGATTTGATCAAAGTTCAAATACAGATGGAAGGCAAACGGCGTCTGATGGGAGAGCCTGCTAGGTATACCTATCATTTATTGTTTAACTACATATAATCAGTGGCACCAAACTCTAAAATTTGTCGTCAAGTGAAATAAAAAATTTTTATCCAACCATTCTCTACTCACACAAACTTCCTCGTCATCTAATAATTAAAAAAATGAAGCTTCACATGATGTATAATTTTGGCTCCACTGTATATAGTTATTGTACAATCATTTAAAATTAACTTTCATAATATTTTATCATTTTATACAAGAGTGTTAAGTGCAGCACATGCGTTCAAAAAAATAGTATCCGAAAGTGGTGTCCGTGGTTTGTGGAAAGGCTCAATTCCAAATGTACAACGTGCTGCACTTGTAAATCTTGGTGATTTGACTACTTATGATACAGCTAAGCAAGTAATTATGCATAAAACTGGATTACCTGATTCACATCTTCTACATTGTCTTTCTAGGTAGACATTAATTTTTTTATTATTTTCCACAATTTTTTAAGATTTCTAAGTATAGTTTATTATTTCAGTATATGTGCTGGATTAGTAGCAGCTACATTAGGAACTCCAGCAGATGTTGTAAAAACACGTGTTATGAATCAACCAACTGACAAAAATGGAATGTAAGTTCAATTACTATAAATGTATTGAGAAATACATTTTTAGGAATCAATTTTATTTATGTTTTATTTTTTTTTTAGTGGTTTGATATACAAAGGATCTTTGGACTGCTTAATTAAGACTATTGAAAATGAAGGGTTTTTTGCTCTTTACAAAGGATTTTTACCCGTCTGGATTAGAATGGCACCCTGGTCATTAACTTTTTGGATGAGTTTTGAACAAATACGCCATGTGCTTGGTGCTACTGGATTTTAGAAATTACAGAGTATAATCATTAGATCTCATTTTTATTATGTTTTTCATCTTTTACAATAGTTCTAAAATATGTTAATATGTTTATTTTCATCATCTCCTTGATCGTATGGAAAATTTAGTCATGAACATACACACTACACACAGTTTATTTTGTAGATTCTAGAGATGGACGTAGGTACAAGTACTATGAATTATATTATTAAACAAAATCAATGGTAAGACAACATTATAAAAGTAACATTGACAAACCGTCTCCATCAATCGATGTAAATGTAATGACGGCTAGTTAATACCAATATAACACCATCTTCGAAATTAAATAATTAAAAATTGTGTTCTAGCATCAATTATAAATTACTAAAGTTATCATCACTTTTGGCCCAAACTTGTGTTGTTATTAGTGTTATTTATGTTTAAAAGAATAACTGATGTATTGAAATGTTTGAAAGTTAATTATTTAATCTATATTTAATATTTGGCCAAATACCAATTATTTTATTGTGTTAACTAAAATGTTTACTACCCAAATTTATCTGTCAATTTAATTTACTTGTAAAATTATTTTTTGTGTGTACAAATTAACAATACATATTACCAATCAATTATAATTTATAGAAATGTTAGTGCATTTCTATAAAATATATAAGTACCATTACATAAATGATAAATACATTATACAATCTATGATGCCAATTAAACCCAATATCTATTGCTAACACAAATCATTGTGTTTTTATTCAATAGAATTGACTTGAAGGTCAATGATAATATATATAATACAAACTAAATTAATTATACTTTAACGTGTTAGAACGTTAGGTAGCTCGATATGAAAGTAATAAAAAATTATCTTTGTAGAAAATATGTTTTTTTTTTTATAAATTGGCTAAGAATTTCATTTATTCTTTTGTAGTGATTATGTTTTATTTTTTTTAATAAATTTAGAACCATTTTAAAAAGTATTTAATTTAAATATGCTAAAAACTAATTTGCATTTCTATGTCAAAAGACCATCAAAAAAACGTAGTATATATACTACAGAAATACCATGAATAAAATGCTGTATAGTAAATTTAAAATATACCTCATTAGTGTGCTCGACTGTAATTTATGTATTAAATTTGAATTTAATAATATTATTATAAATCATATTGCATAAGAAAAACCATTCAGAACAGAAACTGTGTGTCAGACTATTTCTAAAGATATTTAATAAACAATACATTATTTAAACCACTACTAACAAAAATGTTCTTAGGTAACATTTATTTTCTATAGGTGTTTAAGAATTTTTAAATGTCTGTAAACACAACAAATGAAGAACCTTATAATACATTTTTAGACTTCAGCTATCAAAAATTATGAAGTATTATATATTTTTGTATACAAAATAATTTGCAACCAAACCACGCTCTTTTTCAGCAATTGAAACATTTTTACTGCTCCAAAAGCTGTAACAGATATAAATATAATAAATAAAAATGATTAATATTATCATTCTTTATACAATTAACATTATATTTTCATATTGTCTCATCTATATGTGTTGTAGTATCTTACAAACATACAACATAGCTAATTTGTGTTCACAAGAATTAATTTTGTATTTTTAGCTTTTATTTGTAGTGATTGACCAATATTGCCAAACCTAAAAGTAAAAATAAATATCTTTATAAAACTTTGCGTGTTGGTTTTTTACCATATTTTGAGTTTTAAGCAAAATATGAGTAGGTGTATAAATATTACGATTTTATAATATAAATATTCTAAGAAACTAACATAATATACAAACACAGGTCACAGATAATATTGTTAGCATTAAAATGTATACGTAGTACATACTAGGTCAGTCACTCAAATATTAAATCCAACAATGAACAAAATAAAATTTGTTATGTTATAGGACATAGGTAATAGGTAGGTGTACCTTTATATATAGTTTCGTAAGATAGAGACAATACCTATATGCGGATAAGACATCCTCTTAACTCCTTTAATATAACATTTTTTGCTAAAAGTTATGGCCTTATGGGTACCTACTTACTTTTTAATTATGATTTATATTTTTGAATAAATAGGAGATAACATTATTTTTTATCTAGACGAATTAAAATGCGATATCAATAATATACTTCACAAATTTATTTTTACATATTTAATATGGATTATAAACTTATTGGTTATAGTTTATAAAGCAGTACCATAATCGTCAGACGAGGCTCTCGTAGACCTAAAACCACAAAACCTAACTATACATGTAAGTAGTGAAGAGTGAAACAGTAGCATCAATTTTATGTTTTTTATTTTATTTCATTAATGTAAGAGACAGGAGCCGGAAAGCTCGGTAACAATATATATCTATCTAGTGCATTTGGTAAATACATTTTGCATAAGAGAAAACATAAACTTACAAACTTAAAAGGTAGGTAACTAGGTAAGTTACAATTTATATTGTTCATAAAATAGGAAAGGGTCTAAATTGTCCTGCCTCGTGCAGTGAGTTAACGGTTCAATATTTAGGTAGATTGAAGGACACGAATGAATGATAACACAAACGATATGTATGTGTTTCCGTTGGATTACCTATACAATGATTAATGACCATTTTGGTATAGCGAAACTAAGTTTGTATAACATCACTTAAGGGTTAAGAGAATTAAATCTTATATTATATAGATCAACTATATGGGATATGAAAGCTTGGTACGTAAGCATTTGTTGTCTCCATCTTATACAAGTGCGTACTTAACAAATAACAGGTATTATTTTAGCAAATTTACTCTCAGTAGATCACGTTTAGCTTCGTTAGTTCAAAAAATATATTAAATCAACCTGTTATGAAACTTGATTGTAAGAACATATTAACTGTTTTTCTGTGAATTTCTTACGATAGTTCAATTTTTTAGCAAGTTTGGAGCATATTATAAGTTATAACAGCTTGGGTGATGTGATTAAAAACAAAATCAGGAAACTGGTACTAGGTATTTCGACGTCTCCACCACCAAATATTAGAGTAATCAACCTTCGCTACAAAGAATACACATTACTACGTTAGTACACAATTCGATGAACTCTAAACGCTCCGGTTATACAAGTGGGAAACATAAAGGCATAGTATGTGGTTTTCCAAAAATCAGGAGAACATTTTTGCAAATTAACCTCCATTTTTTACTCGTTTCTTTTTGTAATTGAAATATTTATGGAAAAATATTCAAAAAAAGTATTTAATTGACAATTTTGTTCACTTCTTTTCTAAGAAAAATCTCAATAATTGTTTCTATTTACCCTTCATTTGGTAAAATAGAAAAGTGCACCAAAAGACCATAGATGTTGCTATTGAAATATATACAATAATTTGCTAAACATAAAAATAACTTAAATATACATGCTAAAAGTGTTCAGTGGCGTATTTAGGAATTTGTCATGGGGAGGGTCCATATAATTTTCAGAACACAGATCCGAAGGGAGCTTTGCCCCCCCCCCAACCTAAAATTTATTTTTATTAAATAAATACACCATATTTAATTTATAAGTCCATGTAAAATTGTTGAGTTTTTAACTATTTTATAAAATATTTATTTTTGTATCAAAAACTTTGTAATTATAATAAAACCATGGTTGCCTAACTAATTATGTAAGCAGTTTACTAGTAAACTAATAAATTTCTGACATAGATACCTCGTCCCCATCTAGTTAGTTATTCATGATTACAACAATTTTATTTTAAATTTATATTTAAGTGTTATAAAAAAACATATAAAAACTTAAGGACAGTTAACTATTTATTGTTATTAAAGGAAATTGTATTGTGAGATTACAAAACAATATCTAATCGCCTAGGACTTAGAGCCATTATATTATTGATTGCATTTAGGGATATGTCCCGATGATTAGACATCAGTGCCAGTCAATTTAGCCTATCCTAAGTACAAAACAAATTATAAATATACTGTATAGTTTGATTATGGCTTTTATAATAAGTATGTCCTGAATAACTTCACTCGTAGTTGATGTAAGATTAGTTTTCAACCTTTTTAAGGTTGAAAATATTTTGGGAGTAGCTGTAGATACTGGCATGATAAATTGATAACAAAAAAATCACGATATTAATTAAAAATTTTGACAGTTGAAGCGGCGAACATTTTTTACAAAATCCTTTGTATAGTATGATATCTGTTTCTCTTAACCATGTAAAATCACAAAATTTTACGTATACGAGACACGAGTCATTAGGCGGGCGGACCCCATAGACCTCCTCCAGTAAATACAGCACTGGGTAAGAGTAGAATTTTTATGAATTCGTCATTCATAAAGATCAAATAGAAAAAAGTTAAAAAGTGTTTTTATTCACCCAGTTTTAGCTAAATTAAAAATTCTTATCTCACTTAAAAACTGAATTATCGCAAAAAACCACATAAAACATTGATAATGTTCTTGCCTTCTTTCCATCAAGTTTGATTAAAGGTCAATTCACTTTAATTTTCGAACTAACGAATCTAAACGTGATCTTTTGAGCCTAAATAAGGTATGTAGGTACCATAAGATGCATAACATTAATTAGAAATAAGTGATTTGCTAACAAATCCATTAATATCTGAAAAAAGGAGATTGACGGCACTTTAGGAAGAAGTTACCCATTGAAAAATGTCCAGTTTTACTATGGTTTATCGATTTTCCATCTTTGCATTAAAAATATGTGCTCTGGCCATTTGTATAGATAAATTGTAAGTATTTACAGCTGCTAAACATCAGTACATTTCTCGACATTTAAATCACAATTAAAAAAAAAAAACACCAAAGGATACATACATAATATGACATTTTGATAGAAATCGTTTAATTATGAAGGTTTACTCAAAACGTTTTTTTTTTTTAGATTGAAAAAATACATTTAGATAATTGTTTTTGGACATATATTCAACTGCGCGGCGTCAAGAACTATACCTACTGTAATTTGTGTAGTATTCATTCAGGCGTTCACAATTCAGTCCATACTTTTAGAAATAATTAATAACTGACATGCATACATATTTAAGGAACCACCACAATATTATAATACAAGAATATTAAAGGATTTGTTCCCAGCCACCAGACAAAATAATAAAGATGATTGCTGTGTCAAATGTATTATTGAATTTTGCATTAGGAGTACTTTTTACATATTTGTTTGATTTGGAACAAAATATTTTACCAAATGTAGATATTTTGTAAACATAAATTATTAATATTTTGTTTGTACAATTGAATATTTTTTATACAAATAATAGTTTTACTACGAATAGCGCATTATTATACTTAAAATCGATTGTAGATAGACATTGTTTTTTTCCTTCGCCGCTGTTAATGGCTGTAGAAGGTGATTATGTACCAAACACGCCGTCCTTTTTATTCTTTAATGATGCTCTTATTCAATTATTTATAAGTTTTGAAATTTTTAAGTATACGCAGTGGTGGCTTGACCTTTTTTTCTTTTACTCTAATTTAATATTTTTACACCACCCGCCCTAAACGTTTTAGGATACCCGTCCATAATATTTGTGTTAATAACATGATTAAAATTTACCTCCTTCAAGCCGACACTATACTGCAGTCTTGCAAAGTATACTGGAGTAAAAATATTCGAGTAAAATTACTCAAATATGTATTTTGAATACTAAGTTTCTATTTGAACTTAAGATCAAATATTAATTTCCAAATAAATAGGTACCTATAATTATTTTTAGTTTATAAATTTTCTATTTTAATTTTGATCACATCAAATAA